CCTTTGTTTCCATTTTTCTGGCCACCAACTCAATCTTATTAAATTTATATGTGCATGATGTATTTTTTTGAAGTGTTCGCCTCAGACTTCTCCCCTCCAGCTGTCTCACTGTAATTCATCCTTCCAGACTAATCTTTATATAGCACATGTTTATTTACCCTCTCTGTGCAAACACATAGGTACTCCCGCAGCCTATAGGGATAATACGTAAACTCCTGTTTGGCTTTCAGGATCTCCAACCGCCTCATTCCAGCTTGACTTTTGACCTCTTCTTCTCAGGATCATCCACCTAGTCAACTGGGTTTTTGTGTTCAAACCCATGAAAACACATTACTCTTTGCCTCCTCTGTGTTTCTGTGGTTGCTTTTGCACCATCCATGCAAAGAGAAAAGACACTGTTTGCCTTTGATTTGCACTATTATTTTGAAAATGACTTGCAAAAATGTACTTTTAGAAAAGAACAAATTCTCAGGAAAAAAAACATTAAAAGCCGCATGGGGAAAGGAACCCGCAGGTCGGAAAGGAGTTAGTATGCTCACCATTTCATCTCTTTAAGGTTTATTTTTTATTATGATTATTATTTTAAATGAACGACTCCTTAGAAAGAAATAAAAGTCCTTTTTCAAGATAGCTAAAAAAAGAGTATGCAGGTCTGATTACAGCAGAGTGGAAAACTGTTATAAGTGGATATTATTTTCTCATAAAGTCTTATTGTAACACCCAATACTTCAAAATTTACAAGTCCATAAAAGCTAATATTTTTTACTGTGCCTTCAATAGAGACCAAACTGGAATGCATGTGTTTTTCTGAAGTGAAAGTCTTATGTGGACCAAGATTCCTTGCTTTCTAGAATGATAACATCTTCACCATAATATTTCTGTCTATTCAACATGCATAATCCCCAGTCATACTCTGAATGTTCAATCATAGTACTACTTTTATTAAGGGAGATTTTAGGAAATTAAGAATGTGTTATGTTTTGGTAACAATTCCCAAGGTGGTTGTATTAGGTTGGGCCGCCCAGAGGCAGACCCAGAGGAAGGGCTCATGTACATATGGGTTTATCAGGAGGAGCCCCCAGAGGGTAAGGGAGGAAGGCAAGGGGGGAAGCTGTGCACTGGAGCAGCCGCAGAGCACGCTCCCTGGGGTGTAACTTCAACCTTGGCCACAGGCTCTCGGGAACATGAGGTACACTTTGGGTTTTCCCCAATACACTGAAGGGGACTGTGTTTTCATACTCCTGGGCACATCCTTAGCTGTCCAGGTGGGCTGGGAGTTCCTGGTGGTTCGTATAACTCCCATACACTTCTAGCTCTTTGAGGTTGCAGGCAGAGTATCTGCAGCAGCCAAAGGCACTGGAAAGGAGTCACACCTGTGTGAGCCATGGGAGGCAAAAACCACACCTAGGACAGAGAGAGATGCAGAAGAACGGGCCTGAGGGGGTCTGGGTGAGGGGGCAGTGGTCACTTGACAATGCTTCTGCATCCTGCAACCAGAAAATTCCTATCTCAATAAATTATTTCATCAGTTGACAATTTTTAAGAACTGTGTGGCCATGGGTATGCTACTTACCTTCTCTGTGTCTCAGTTCCTTCATCAAATAAATAAAAATACCCAACTCACGATTCTGATGAATGTTCCACAAGTTAATACACACAAAGTATTTCAATCACTGCATATGGTAACAGAAATTAATAATTATTCACTTAACATTTTAAACTCCTTTGTATTTAGTATTATATTTTATGTATATGGGCAGTGGGCTCCTTTTAGCGACATAGTACATTTATGCCAGATTCAAGATATATGGATAAGAATAATATGGAGTGATATGAGGAATATATTTTCAGTAACATATCAGGAGATTACTAAACTACATAAGACAAGGAAGGGAAACAGGAGCTTAGTCATGCATAATGGAAATAAAAATATAACTCATTTTGACACTGATGTAGAAAAAAAATTAGGGCTAGAGGCTTGGATACCATCTGAATTTATCATTTTGCACATTTTAAACTCTAAATTTCCCTTTAAGTCGAGAAGATCTAGATCCTTTGTAGTAATAGTTATGGAAAAAAGCACCTACTGTTTTTGGTGGAAGGAAGGAAATAGTAGCAGAAAATGCAGTATATTCAAATTTCCTAAGAATTTTAAGAAAAGGCATCATGGAGACACCTTTATTGGCACTGAGATAATATTATATTGAACCATATAAAGTCGCCAGTAATCTTATGTGGACCAAGATTCCTTGCTTTCTAGAATGATAACATCTTCACCATAATATTTCTGTCTATTCAACATGCATAATCCCCAGTCATACTCTGAATGTTCAATCATAGTACTACTTTTATTAAGGGAGATTTTAGGAAATTAAGAATGTGTTATGTTTGGTAACAATTCCCAAGGTGGTTGTATTAGGTTGGGCCGCCCAGAGGCAGACCCAGAGGAAGGGCTCATGTACATATGGGTTTATCAGGAGGAGCCCCCAGAGGGTAAGGGAGGAAGGCAAGGGGGGAAGCTGTGCACTGGAGCAGCCGCAGAGCACGCTCCCTGGGGTGTAACTTCAACCTTGGCCACAGGCTCTCGGGAACATGAGGTACACTTTGGGTTTTCCCCAATACACTGAAGGGGACTGTGTTTTCATACTCCTGGGCACATCCTTAGCTGTCCAGGTGGGCTGGGAGTTCCTGGTGGTTCGTATAACTCCCATACACTTCTAGCTCTTTGAGGTTGCAGGCAGAGTATCTGCAGCAGCCAAAGGCACTGGAAAGGAGTCACACCTGTGTGAGCCATGGGAGGCAAAAACCACACCTAGGACAGAGAGAGATGCAGAAGAACGGGCCTGAGGGGGTCTGGGTGAGGGGGCAGTGGTCACTTGACAATGCTTCTGCATCCTGCAACCAGAAAATTCCTATCTCAATAAATTATTTCATCAGTTGACAATTTTTAAGAACTGTGTGGCCATGGGTATGCTACTTACCTTCTCTGTGTCTCAGTTCCTTCATCAAATAAATAAAAATACCCAACTCACGATTCTGATGAATGTTCCACAAGTTAATACACACAAAGTATTTCAATCACTGCATATGGTAACAGAAATTAATAATTATTCACTTAACATTTTAAACTCCTTTGTATTTAGTATTATATTTTATGTATATGGGCAGTGGGCTCCTTTTAGCGACATAGTACATTTATGCCAGATTCAAGATATATGGATAAGAATAATATGGAGTGATATGAGGAATATATTTTCAGTAACATATCAGGAGATTACTAAACTACATAAGACAAGGAAGGGAAACAGGAGCTTAGTCATGCATAATGGAAATAAAAATATAACTCATTTTGACACTGATGTAGAAAAAAAATTAGGGCTAGAGGCTTGGATACCATCTGAATTTATCATTTTGCACATTTTAAACTCTAAATTTCCCTTTAAGTCGAGAAGATCTAGATCCTTTGTAGTAATAGTTATGGAAAAAAGCACCTACTGTTTTTGGTGGAAGGAAGGAAATAGTAGCAGAAAATGCAGTATATTCAAATTTCCTAAGAATTTTAAGAAAAGGCATCATGGAGACACCTTTATTGGCACTGAGATAATATTATATTGAACCATATAAAGTCGCCAGTACGTGCACTTTTTTGACCTATGAAAACAGCAATTTCATATGATTCAGCCTAATACATACAGCCTGTAAGAAGACAGTCTTGTATGGGCTTCTCTTCCTTCTACATATCTTGTTGTCTATGCCAGGAATGCAAGGCTCTGAGCACAGTTCCCCTGCTTACTTCTTGAATGTGGCATTGATGGTCGCACCAAGTTTTCTTCAGTCCTAGGTTGACCATTGATGAAACCCAAACACTTTGTCCCGACAATGCCGCAATTGTGACATTGGCATTTTTAACACTGTATACAATGTATACATTGTGTATGACGCATAGATAACAGCATTGTAAATAGCTGTTCTCTGATTCATTAAGGCCTATTGCCCCTGATGTTTTCCTTTTTGACCCTTATCAGCCACACACTGGCAAAACAGGAAGAAATAAAGAGGAAAAAGAAAGGCAATAAAGGGGTTATAATCAAGAAGTACATTGTGACTGTGACCAACAGGGAAATTTGGAAATAAAGACTGAACACCCAAGGATGCCCTGTCAGCCAGTCACAGCTACACTTGTTCAAAGCCTGACAAGTGCTTAGCACCATGTCAAGGTGCCACATAGAGATTCATAGGAAATGACAGTCATAGACACTACCTTAAGAGTACTTATAGTGTAATAGACAAGACAGCACAATTAAATGCCCATGTATCCATAAACCTACTGTCTGGCCCTTCACTTACGTCTCTATTGGCTTGCTATTTCTCTTGTAACACCTGTCACAAGCTGCAATATTTAGTTTATTTATTTGTGTTCTTGATTATTAGAGCTCCCCAGAGTTGAGATTTGCCTGACATGCAACAGTGTGTCCATTCCAATTATTTATGGCCACCATCCCCAGTCTCACCCACTGGAATAGAAATTCGAAGAGTGCGAGGGCTGGGCCTATGTGATCCACCACTGTAACCCCAGAATCTAGCAAAATATACCTAGTAGATTCTCAAAAAAAAATTTTTTTTAATAAATATTAAATACATAAATAAAACCAGCAACAGCTATATAGAGAGGTTATATAGCTTCTAAATGCTGCTACTAACTCAATAGCACAAAATTAAGTGCCACCCGGCCTCAAAGGCACAGGCAAAATTCTCAAAGAATTTAGATGAGAAAAATACCTCTAGGCCCCAGGGCAGCTGCCCTGGAACTGAGCACTGATGCGTAGTGGGCCCAGCCAGATACGCAGAACTTCTGAACTCATCTATAGATTCACTGAAGTTTAGAGTGGTTTGGTTGGTACCATTATTGTAGCAATAACCAACGAACATTATACTCTTAAAGTAATAAAAATAGTCACCTGCAAAACAGACATTAAAATGAGAACATGATTCACCTTTATTGAAACAGAAAGCATTTTTAGTTGAATTATCGGGTTCCACCAGAGCTGCAGACAAACATCTCCCTGCACTCCGCACCCACCTCACCGAGGCTGAGCAGACTAGGTCACATGCATTCAGAGAGAAGACACCAAAGCTATTAGCAGGCTCAGCACCACGGAGGTAGATGTCACCTTCCCAGCACTGTTTGAATGCCAGTATTTTTCATATACATCGTCCAGGATGGAGAGTACAGCTGCCATGGTCTCCTCGCAGGTGTCCTGAATCTGAGCTTCTGGCAATACAAATCCATAAGTACCATTGTCCCTCAGTTCAAAGGTATATGAGAAGGGAATCCCAATGTCCTGAGCCCAGTCTCTCGAAGACCCTGACGAGGCATCTACAAGTGAGAACATGAGGCGGAGTTAGAAATAGTACTATGGAAGGACAGATTTCTATAGCTGTTTCAGGGAATAAAGGTTCAATCCAACAAAATAAACTTCGTCACACTGGGGCCTCATGGATAGCTGTCTTCTCCCCACCCTTGATAGTAAGGCCCTGTAGGGCAGGAATTACACCGTATTCCACCTCTCTGTCTCCCCTCGCCGTCCCCCATGGTACCTAGCATTATGCCTGGCACCTAGCAGAGGTTTGGTTAAAGTTTCTCAGCTGAATCAAACACTAGACCACCTGATACTGCAGGCAAGAGTGAAGTGACATATAAAGGAACAGAAACAAAATGAGGCACAGGGAAAATATGATGTAAATATTATCTTGGTGGTCCTTCAGTGGGTGGAGGAGGGAGTGGTGGAGGACGGGGGAAGCAGTATACTCTCCTTCCAACTAAATTCTTCTTCTTCTTCTTTTTTTAAGATTCTTTCTCCAGGTCCCACCTGCTCTGCTTTCTTAGCCTGATGGGGCTTCTGGGAACTGAATTCAACTGACCAAGGGTCACCGGAAAACATCCTTCCTCTTAACTCCTGTGCCTTCTCACTTGCCAGCTCTTTTAAACTGAAACCAGAGGGAGTTCTGGTCTGAGCCAGTGTATTAATTTTTTCTTTTCGTTCACACCTTATCCCTAGAGAGCATAATTCTGGATTTGTACAGACTCCCTTTTATCCTTGGTCATTTTGATTTCTACAGCTTCCTGTTGATCCCAGGAACTCTCCGTCCCTTCCCTGCCCACTCCACTGTCCAAGGTGCACTGATTTCTTTTGTGCCCTAGATACCATCGAAGAGGAAGAAAAAAAAGATACTTACATAAAATATCTGCACTCGATCCAACTCTATAATTGGTTCCATGCTTTTCTTTCAATGCATTTGCTGCCTTCTGTCCAACTTGGATCTGTAGGTGGGAAATGCAGAGACAGATATCTGATGTTAAAAATAAATCCAACAATCCAGAGGGTTTGGTATTTTGTCCAAATCCATCTCCAGGTTCCAGACCATCTTTCTAACTTCCCACTGGACAGCTACATCTAGGTAGCCTGCTGCTACTTCAGACTCCACATACTCAAACCCAGTTTCATCGTCTACCCCACTAATAAGGCTGTTTGCGTTTTCACACTTCTGGCCTCTCATGCTCCCCTAAGCACACGTACACTCCTGCAGTCATCTTTGACTCTCCTTCTCCCAAACACTTACCAAGTTGCATTTCCACTGCCATCACCCTATTTCAGTCTCATTAGCTCTGAAATGGACTACTGTCATCTTCTAGTAAGTTTCACTTCCTTTCATCAATGTTTATCCCAATTGATCTCCCCTGGCTCTCAGGTGAGCTTGTGTGGAGCAGAACTATGACCACGGTCCTGCTGAAAAGTCTTCAATAACTCAGCTGCCAGCTGCATGAAGCACAGATTTCTCACTTTAGTATTTGAGATCTTCCATCATATGGCCCTGACTAACCTTTGCAGCACCACATTCTCTATATCCCACCCTAGATTATGGCCAAACTCAAGTTCTCCCACATGCCCCAGTTCCTTAGACTGTCTACCTTTTCTCAAGATATTGCCTCTACCTGGGATGCCTTACCTCTCATCTCTGTCCGTCGAAGTTCTACCCAACTTCAAAGAACTTTCTCACACGCCAACTTCTCTTTGAGGCTTTTCCTGATCATCCCACTGGGTTCTCTCTCTCCTCGTGTTTTCCCCCATGGTCATTGGTTCATACTTTCCTTACTGCTCCCTGTTTGCTTTTCCTTATACGTATTTGATGCTCATCTCTCACAAGCTCATAGAATTTCAGAGCTGGAAGCCACACACTTCCTCACACCTACCTCCCTGTAACCTTACTACACTGGAATCCCTCAGAACTAGGTGACTTCTAAGGTCTCAGCCTGGCTCTCAGCACACCCTTTCTGAGATCAGAGTCACTAACTGAAATACAGGTGTACTGACCTTCTGGTATGTCTCCTTACACGCTCTTTTGACAATCTAAGTATTCCCCATCCCAGGCTCTCTAATGCTATATTCTGCCTGCTTGATGGCATATTCCCCTCCTTCCCCTTGGATTTTGCCCAGACACCACCCAACCCCTTGCCCACTCCCCGCCTAGCCTGCAAGCCTCTGCTGCTTCACCGCACAGGGCAGCCTGGCTGCACACGCTGGTGCGTTAGCGTCCCTGACTTCTGGCTTTATGCCCGGCCTCTCCCTCCGCACCCTGCGTTGCCCAGTTGAATCCTGAGGTACGGCAGAGTGGTGGTTGGGCAGAGCAGGGAGAGTCGCAGTGAAATTCCAAAGGAGGAGCAGAAAAGACAATAGCGGTAGTGGGGTCATGGGCAGCGTGACCTGGGCCTCCCTGCGTGTGGCTAAGGTAAGAGAAAAACAGTAAATGGAACGTACTTTCAAGATTTTTGCCTCCTCTCCTCTCACTACTGAGAATTCTGTCTTGGGCCATTCACCTTCTCTCTCTTCCTGAAAAGAGATTCTAAGTCTGCCTTAGCCCCTGGGCTTGTGCCGGCCAGAACTGAGATAATGAGTAGGAAGAAGTAACAAAGTGCAACGTATAATGCTGGTTTTATCCATTTACGCTGGGAAGAGGTACAAGAGCTGTTTGTAGAAAGAAGAGGAATTAAAGGGAGAAGAGACTTAGAAAGGGGACTTCCGGGAAGAGAAATTCTGCTAAGGAAATAAAAATGAAGTCTGAAGAGGAAGGATTTAGGGTAGCTACTATGTCTGAGTGAAATCAAGAGCCCGAGGCCTGGGGAAAGAGTGGCTGTGATTTGCTAACCACACTCCCTTTTGCAGTTCTTTTAGAGGCTCTGGTAAACATGCGAATTGCTTGTAATTCTTTTTAATACCCGTGTGATTCTGTATTTCCTTGAATGAAGCTCCAGGCCAGCCGCTCCACGTGGAGCCTGACTTTGGTTTGCGTTACACGGACGGGCTCCAGGCTGCGTCTTCCATCCAAAGGGTTTCTTGGTTTTTTTTGGTTTTCCTGCATTTTTTTTTCTTTGTCTTTCCTGCAGCTCACTGAAGATGACTCTTTCTTCTGATTGCCAGCTTTTACTTATTTTATCCTATATAGTTCTCCTCTCCCAAATCCTGGCTGAGGGAAGGAAACCGTCTTCCCAGTTTCCCCTTCCTCGCAGACAAGAAATTTCGAATACTTTAAAGGATTCTCCTGCAATTACTGTGGGGAAGTTGATAGGTGTAAGAAATACAGCATATATGAGATGTATACAGCTGTGATACTTAGCTTATAGATCGGATCCTTTCTGAGAAGATAAAATGGGAATCTGAAGACTCTGACTTCTCTTTCTAAGGTTAGAATTCCCAATTATTCTCTCTTCTTCTGACACTACACCACAAGGTCATAGACAGCCAATTTCTCTGTGGCCCTTCTCAGCCTAAAGGCACTTTCTAGTCAAAATAATAAAAATCCCTTTGCTAGTAGTACATAATTTACATTGTTAAAGACCTGCTTAATAATTTACATTGTAAAAGACCTGCTTAATAAAGCCTTCACTGGGCAGAGAATTTCCTGTATTCACAGGGAGGCACACTAAAAGGTTGATTAAGGCCCTGGCATGCATATGTGCAAGGACAAAGGTTGGGGTGGGATACAGGGGTTGACACGGGAAGAGTTCAAATGGGAAGAATGTTAGCATCTAAATATTAGAATTCTTATAGCTATTCTAATTTCCAGAGCAGTTTAGAACTGGGCTATATGTGGTTATGTTTCCCCTACACAGTAATTGCTAAATTGTGTATCACATAGTATCATATTTATCTTAATTTCTACAAATTTTTGGTTTTGTAAATATATAGACATTAATTACTAGTCTCTGCTAATTGTAAACAGTACCAGAAATTGAAATCTCCTTAAACAGTTGGTTTGGCTCTGTGTCTTTGTGCACAGAAGGGGCTGGGAACTGAAAGTGTTCTTAGGGGCTATCAAAGCTTGCCCCTAAGAACCTCCAGCCACCACCAGCTGGCTTCAGTATGGATGACACAAGGTGGCAAAATTTTCACACTGTTATTATAAAAGTCTCAGATGAATGTTTATGATAACTCTTCAGCACCTGAGACCGTAAGAGCTACAGAATTGGAGTAGTCTTCCTTAATTTGATTTGCCGGTTTCCACAGAGAGTTTAAAGGGTTGTCCATAATTGCCATCTTAGAGTTACCTTGCAGTAGTAGCCAGGTCAGTGCCCCAGGTCCCTCCTGCCTTCTGGCCTCTCCTAGCCTGTGGCCAGAGGGCTATGACCAGGGAGTCGTTCAGCAGCACAAGACCCTCTAACCTTCGAACACAAACCTTGCAAAATGGCCATGCAGTATGTTTTCCTGAACCAAGAGAATGAAATTCCCTAGAAAAATACTAGGGTTTATGAGTCTTTTTTTTCTGCTGGTGGAAAGCCTATCCCATCAACAGTCTCTATGTAATGGCCTGTCTTTGGGGCCACACTTCCCTTTGAGCAGAAAATAGACATCTGCAGGAAATACCACAGAAACTGGGAACTAAAAGTGTTCGGGGCTTCTCCACTAAAATCTTTGTTTCTGCATATTTCTTTATTAAAGAAATTGACTTTCAGAAAGGAGGGGGAACTACAACACAGTGAACTGGGCATCTAAATTGGTAACAGCTCTTAGAAGTTGCAAACGCTTTCTGAGTAGAAAGAGACAGTGTGAGGTGGTCAAATGAATGCAGCCTTTGGTATCTGAAGAGATGAGTTCCAGCCTGGGTACCACTATTCACTGTCTATAGGGGATCTAGAAATATAGTTAACTCTAGGTCTCAATTTTCAAATCTCCAAAGTGAGCTTATTATATTGTCATGAGGGTCAGATGAGTTAATGCTATAAAATCCCTTTGTAAATTGTAAAGTCCTAGGCAAATGTTAGTTATTTCCATATCTTACAAAACAAACGTGTAGTACAAATGTCCAAAAATGTTGCTGAAACGATACTGGGGTACTGTTAAGATATTTTTGACTACTGGAGGAAAGGATCCTTTCAGCAAAGATCTTATAGTGGTTTTTCTTTTTTTGCCCAGACATATGTGTTATGGGTCATGCTCCAGTAGGAATGGGACAGGATGTAGAAGAGAACCAGTTAGTCCCCAGGCCTCTGTGATCTTGAGAACAGAGTAAACTGAGTCCCTATCCATCCCAGCATTTGTTGATAATGAGGAACTTAACTTAAAATATTAAAAAGATAAGTTTTTTTCTAATACTTATTAGAAAATAACAAGTATTGGTGGGAACATGGGGAAATTGGAACCCTTGTGCACTATTGGTAGGAGTGGAAAATGGTAGGAAGGTGTACCTATTGTGGAAACAGATTAATGGCTCCTCAAAAAGTTAAAAATAGAATTACCATATGATTCACCAATTCTATCTCTGGTTATATACTCCCAAAATTGAAAATGGTGTCTCAAAGAGGTATTGTACACTTATGTTCATAGCAGCATTATCTGCAATAGCTAAAGGTAGAAACAATTCAAATATACATCTGTGGATAAATGAATGAAGAAAATATAGTATATACCTATGATGGACTATTACTCAAACTTAAAAAGGAAGGAAATTCTGATGCATGCTACAACATGGTTGAACCTTGTGGACATTATGCTAAGTAAAACAAGCCAGCCATAAAAAGATACCGTCTGATTCCACTTACATGAGGTATCTAGAGCAGTCAAATTCAGAGAAAAAGAAAGTAGAATGATGGTTGCCAGGAGCAAGGTGGGGCCAGAAGTTGTTTAATGGGTATGGAGTTTCAATTCTGAAAGATGAATGAGTTTTGGAGATTGGTTGCACAATAATGTGAATCTACTTCACATTACTTGATTGTCACTTGAAAACAGTTAAGACGGTGAATTTTATATTAAACATACTTTACCACAATTAAAAATTGAAAAAATAATTTTAAAAAAAGATAAATATTGCAATGATTTTAATTTATACTCCCTTTGGTTTGTGTCTATTGTCCGGAGGCTGAGGAAAGGGCAAAGAGACCTTTCAGCATTTCTGCCCAGTGCTTGAGCCAACACAACTTCAGAGATCTGGTAAGACAGAGCACACTTTCCCTGCCCAGCTGGACTCATTGGCACCTCCCCTTACAAATAGTCCTCGGCAAATACTAGAGGCAGAGTTTAGGAGAAAATAAAGCATTGTGTTAGCAGAGAAGAGAGCAGATATTATTTAGCTGTGTTATTTTAGATATGCCATATTCCACGAACAGCTGGCGAGTTCTTTAAAGCATGGTTCAAAAGCTATAATTGCTGAACAGAGCTTCAGGAGAATTTACAGAAATGAAAGTGCATTCCTGCAGATTATTAACATAATCATCTCATTTATATTATAGACGAATACCTAAGATGTCTCCCAACTTGACACTTCACGAAACAGGTAGTTAATTACCATAGGTAAAGCAGCATTTAACCTGAAGCCTTCCCAGCAGGCATCTGGCAAGATGTAAAAAGCAGGAGAAGGAAAATAAGGAAGAGCAGAATGAACAAAGTGGGGCTTGGAGCCAAAAGCTTGGAAATAGAAATCAGGGAAAGGAAGCCAGGGGTCCCACTGAGGCTCTTCTAAAGGCTTTGGTGCTACGATCTTACCAGTTCTTCATGATTACTTGTTTTATTTTCAGTGTAGCCGTAAGGCAGGAGAATGAGCTGCCCATATGAATGCATGGTCAGGAAGCACACAATGTTCTCCTTCTTGCTCTCAATAAAGCTGGAAACAGCTTTGGTCTCTGGTTCAGAGACCGGTCCTGCCCCACAGAATGTTAAATCCGAGCAGTTTTTAGATGCGCCAATACCTGGAATACGCAGGAAACCACAAGGAAGGCATCATGATCCAGTTTAGAACTGACAGAGGGCAAGGGGTCATCCTCGCTTAGGGCAATCTGTGTGTGGAATCAGGGCTTACCCTTGCTCATCTAAGTTAGTTCTGGTTAAATTAGTCAGCTTGGTAGTCATTCAAGGAGGAACTCAGAAAGTCAGGAGGGCTGACATTTAGATTTAGAAACAAACTCCACACTTACATGGCCCGAGAAGGAGGATGCAAAATGAAATGGCATTTTCAGTACATTTTCACTTAACATGGGGTATGTCTGGGAACCAGTTCTTGGGTTTCTAAGTCAGGCTTTGATGGAGTCTGATTGGCCTATGTCTCTTACTCAGTCATATTAGAGCTATTTTGCAAGGATTAATTAGTCTGTCCTCCTCTCCAATAATAATAAGGACCATGGGTGGAGTGCTTTGCACATGCTGGACACTGTGGTAGCCCCTCCTAGTGGCTCTGCACTTAATCCCCATGACAACCTACTAATTTGGTATGACTAAGGGCCACATTTTAAAGAGAAAACTAGAGCAGAGAGATGAATCAGTTTTTCCAAAACCACACAGCCACCAAGCCTGAATTTTAACCCTTGCCATCTGGTGTTACCCACACTGCTCTTAACCATTCCCAACTCTTTATTTGCTTCCAACTCACTAGGCATGCTGACTTTCAGAAACACAAAAATGCCCTCCAGACAAGGAAATGTTTGTCTTCTGTCCCTCTGTCCCTCTGCTACAAAATAATCTGCAAAGATAATTCTCTGATTTTTCTTTTCTTTATGATAATTGATATACTTAAAAACAGAGACAAACTTGAGATGCATTCACACCTGCCTAGGTCTTCTTTACCCTTGTTCAGCCAGCCTCACTTGAAGAGCATCCTGAACTGCAGTGGTGCTGTCTCTTACTGTATAGATAGTATCATCTTTGGAGGGAGAACTCTGATCAGGAAGTCCAGAAAGTTGTACAAAATTACATGTTCATTTTCAAATGTTATAGCCCTAGTAATTTGCTTCTTCTCTAGCTTCTCGGCTCCATTTTTTTTTTCCATCAATTTATCGACCAAACATGTACTTACTACACCAGGATGCATTGAAATTTCGATTGAGATCTGTCCCAAAACATGTGCCATTGTTATGGGATGAGCGGGATTTCCTCCAAAGTCGATCCTGTAACAGAGGAACACCAGGAGGTTGCCATTCAAAAGTGTCACAAATCACAGTGCTAGTGATGATGGCTGGTCCTCAACCATGAAAAACCATTCCTGGGATTGTCTGGAAGAACTTTCCTTTAACATTATGAAGCTTGTGCATGTCATAGTTAGTCTTGCAGATGGACTAGCAACCATCTGCACAACCAAAAGCGTACATAGATGTAAGCCATCAAATTGGAGGGAGTGGTTTGGTCTGTTCTTCATGAGCAGATTAGCAGCGCCTGGTGGACGTGATCTGCTTAATCAGGGAAAGCTTGAGAGTCATTTTTTAGGTCCCAGTGATACAGGATGAAAGAGAAATAGTTTGCCAGATGGAAAAGGCTGTTCCAAGTGTACCAGAGATGGTTGGCTGCACATTTCTGGGAGCAAGAGACTGATAAGTAGAGATGGCGAGAAAGAATTTCTCCTAACAAGCTCATAGGGAAGGACTTGACTCACACACTGGGCCAAAGGGCTGCTGCAGAGAAAGGGGTCCCAGTAAGGGCCTTTGGGGGAGCAATGAGGGAGTGGGGAATGGAAACTCTGTAGAAACAGGTTTCATTTATGGAGTGATGTGCTTTAGACACATTTCAAAGAGGGTGTTGTCTACTAAATAAAAATCTTTATGAGATGTTTGCCCCATGTGAATGATCACAGTGAAAAATAAAAGCTGGGTTAGAATTTATACATCATTGGTGTCCCTTATGCTTCAAACCTAAGGTGTTATATGAATTTTATACCAATAGGATCCTGAATGGTGGCAGGCAATCCACAAACTTTAAGGAGATGGAGTTGAAGAAAAGTTAAGTCTGGCTCGAAAAATGGGAATATGTCAAAAACAAACAGGCCAAAAAAAAATGTACTGGATTTCAACCCTAAAAGGGCCTCAGTTTTCTCAATCCTAAATTGACTTAGATTGTTAGGTTAAAAATATTAAATTGATTTTTATCCTAAACAGGATTTCTTTCTTTACATGGCCACAGAACATTTCTGTAATAACTGAGGGCAGGATAATGAATCTGAGTCAAGATTTAGTAGATGAACTCATCCAAGGACCAACTAACTGTACTTACAGTTGTCCAACTATAGATATAACCATCTATGTTAAGAACTGGAAGCACATAGAAATCCAGGTTTCTAAGGAACCTTCTTATCCTGGGATTGTCTCTGTAGTTTTGTAGAATCTGGAAATTTAAGAAAGAAACATTTGGAATGATCCTGGCAGAGGTCTTTCCTCTCTTAATTTTCAACTTAATTACAAAGGCAATTAACTGCCTGTAACACCAGACCTCTACCCTCCAGCCCTCTAACCCCGCCTCTGCTGTCATATTTGTTATGGTAATGGTTCTCAAAGTCAGTGTGCCTCAGAATCACCTGCACTTGTTAAAACACAGTCTGCCTGGCTCCAACTCTCCCAGATTCACCCCCACCCATGATTCACTAGGTCTAAGGTGGGGAGATGGAGTCCAAGAATTTGTATTTCTAACAAATTCCCAGTTACGCTGATGCAGTTGGTCTAGGAACCACACTTTGCCAACTACTTTTTGTGGGCTTCTTTATATTTAGGTTTCTGAAAAGACAGACACAAAAAGTATGATATTCCTTTTAAAGGTTCCTTATTCCCTCAACGGAAGGGGGGAAGTAATATGCAAAACTTCATCGTGCTGGTTTTTTTTCCCCATGTTGATTTTTTTTCCCCATGCTGAATCTCTGAATCCACACAGCAGACCCCAGCAGTAATTATTTCATACTCCTTTTGCAGGTGAAAAACAAGGGGCCCTGGTTTTAGAAAATTTGCCCTAGACTATTTGAAAAAGGCAGTGTCAGGATTCACTCATCTCTGACTTTCAAGATATATTTTTCTCCTACATTTTGACATGTTTACCTTCCAAGAAAAATGGTTTTGTATCCGCTAAGAAGAGATCAGAATACCTAACTCTTTTCTCAGTGAAGCTACTTATTAATTCCATTCCCCTTGGGGTGAGGAGTAGCTCAGTAGAGAGTTATATTGCCAACAAGTGAGAGAGAAGCACGCTTTCTAAATAGCTACAACTGACAGATAATTTGTGGGATGGTTAACTATTATAAGGAAGCTGAAGACACTTACTTCTTTCACAAACCATTGGCAAAAAGCTGGGGCAATCCATTCCCTGGCATGAATTCCACAGTCCATCCAAATGATCTTCTTGGTATCACTGGATGGTTGGCTGATCTGGAGGGGACATCCATGCAAAGTTATCAGGTTTCTTAGTCTCCTTTATTCCTCCACACTGTGGTTCCAGGCATGAGGCAAGGATGCTGGCAGAGATACCCACCAACAGGGCCCTTTCCTAGGCTACTTGAACTCTCCTGTCAATTACTTTGGCTGGTGTTCCAAGGACTGAGTGCAGACTCCCCATATCCCTCACCCAAAGCCTGGTCTTCCCTACACCCTAAATTATTTCCTATCTATACGTAAAGGCAGAAATCCCCAAGCCAGAAAACAGAGGCTAACTATCTATGAACTTTCTAAAGCCTCACCATAAAGGGTTTACTTAGAATGGTAAAGTGCACAAAGAGGAACTCAGAAAGTCAGGAGGGCTGACATTTAGATTTAGAAACAAACTCCACACTTACATGGCCCGAGAAGGAGGATGCAAAATGAAATGGCATTTTCAGTACATTTTCACTTAACATGGGGTATGTCTGGGAACCAGTTCTTGGGTTTCTAAGTCAGGCTTCGATGGAGTCTGATTGGCCTATGTCTCTTACTCAGTCATATTAGAGCTATTTTGCAAGGATTAATTAGTCTGTCCTCCTCTCCAATAATAATAAGGACCATGGGTGGAGTGCTTTGCACATGCTGGACACTGTGGTAGCCCCTCCTAGTGGCTCTGCACTTAATCCCCATGACAACCTACTAATTTGGTATGACTAAGGGCCACATTTTAAAGAGAAAACTAGAGCAGAGAGATGAATCAGTTTTTCCAAAACCACACAGCCACCAAGCCTGAATTTTAACCCTTGCCATCTGGTGTTACCCACACTGCTCTTAACCATTCCCAACTCTTTATTTGCTTCCAACTCACTAGGCATGCTGACTTTCAGAAACACAAAAATGCCCTCCAGACAAGGAAATGTTTGTCTTCTGTCCCTCTGTCCCTCTGCTACAAAATAATCTGCAAAGATAATTCTCTGATTTTTCTTTTCTTTATGATAATTGATATACTTAAAAACAGAGACAAACTTGAGATGCATTCACACCTGCCTAGGTCTTCTTTACCCTTGTTCAGCCAGCCTCACTTGAAGAGCATCCTGAACTGCAGTGGTGCTGTCTCTTACTGTATAGATAGTATCATCTTTGGAGGGATAACTCTGATCAGGAAGTCCAGAAAGTTGTACAAAATTACATGTTCATTTTCAAATGTTATAGCCCTAGTAATTTGCTTCTTCTCTAGCTTCTCGGCTCCATTTTTTTTTCCATCAATTTATCGACCAAACATGTACTTACTACACCAGGATGCATTGAAATTTCGATTGAGATCTGTCCCAAAACATGTGCCATTGTTATGGGATGAGCGGGATTTCCTCCAAAGTCGATCCTGTAACAGAGGAACACCAGGAGGTTGCCATTCAAAAGTGTCACAAATCACAGTGCTAGTGATGATGGCTGGTCCTCAAACATGAAAAACCATTCCTGGGATTGTCTGGAAGAACTTTCCTTTAACATTATGAAGCTTGTGCATGTCATAGTTAGTCTTGCAGATGGACTAGCAACCATCTGCACAACCAAAAGCGTACATAGATGTAAGCCATCAAATTGGAGGGAGTGGTTTGGTCTGTTCTTCATGAGCAGATTAGCAGTGCCTGGTGGATGTGATCTGCTTAATCAGGGAAAGCTTGAGAGTCATTTTTTAGGTCCCAGTGATACAGGATGAAAGAGAAATAGTTTGCCAGATGGAAAAGGCAGTTCCAAGTGTACCAGAGATGGTTGGCTGCACATTTCTGGGAGCAAGAGACTGATAAGTAGAGATGGCGAGAAAGAATTTCTCCTAACAAGCTCATAGGGAAGGACTTGACTCACACACTGGGCCAAAGGGCTGCTGCAGAGAAAGGGGTCCCAGTAAGGGCCTTTGGGGGAGCAATGAGGGAGTGGGGAATGGAAACTCTGTAGAAACAGGTTTCATTTATGGAGTGATGTGCTTTAGACACATTTCAAAGAGGGTGTTGTCTACTAAATAAAAATCTTTATGAGATGTTTGCCCCATGTGAATGATCACAGTGAAAAATAAAAGCTGGGTTAGAATTTATACATCATTGGTGTCCCTTATGCTTCAAACCTAAGGTGTTATATGAATTTTATACCAATAGGATCCTGAATGGTGGCAGGCAATCCACAAACTTTAAGGAGATGGAGTTGAAGAAAAGTTAAGTCTGGCTCGAAAAATGGGAATATGTCAAAAACAAACAGGCCAAAAAAAAATGTACTGGATTTCAACCCTAAAAGGGCCTCAGTTTTCTCAATCCTAAATTGACTTAGATTGTTAGGTTAAAAATATTAAATTGATTTTTATCCTAAACAGGATTTCTTTCTTTACATGGCCACAGAACATTTCTGTAATAACTGAGGGCAGGATAATGAATCTGAGTCAAGATTTAGTAGATGAACTCATCCAAGGACCAACTAACTGTACTTACAGTTGTCCAACTATAGATATAACCATCTATGTTAAGAACTGGAAGCACATAGAAATCCAGGTTTCTAAGGAACCTTCTTATCCTGGGATTGTCTCTGTAGTTTTGTAGAATCTGGAAATTTAAGAAAGAAACATTTGGAATGATCCTGGCAGAGGTCTTTCCTCTCTTAATTTTCAACTTAATTACAAAGGCAATTAACTGCCTGTAACACCAGACCTCTACCCTCCAGCCCTCTAACCCCTCCTCTGCTGTCATACTTGTTATGGTAATGGTTCTCAAAGTCAGTGTGCCTCAGAATCACCTGCACTTGTTAAAACACAGTCTGCCTGGCTCCAACTCTCCCAGATTCACCCCCACCCATGATTCACTAGGTCTAAGGTGGGGAGATGGAGTCCAAGAATTTGTATTTCTAACAAATTCCCAGTTACGCTGATGCAGTTGGTCTAGGAACCACACTTTGCCAACTACTTTTTGTGGGCTTCTTTATATTTAGGTTTCTGAAAAGACAGACACAAAAAGTATGATATTCCTTTTAAAGGTTCCTTATTCCCTCAACGGAAGGGGGGAAGTAATATGCAAAACTTCATCGTGCTGGTTTTTTTTCCCCATGTTGATTTTTTTTCCCCATGCTGAATCTCTGAATCCACACAGCAGACCCCAGCAGTAATTATTTCATACTCCTTTTGCAGGTGAAAAACAAGGGGCCCTGGTTTTAGAAAATTTGCCCTAGACTATTTGAAAAAGGCAGTGTCAGGATTCACTCATCTCTGACTTTCAAGATATATTTTTCTCCTACATTTTGACATGTTTACCTTCCAAGAAAAATGGTTTTGTATCCGCTAAGAAGAGATCAGAATACCTAACTCTTTTCTCAGTGAAGCTACTTATTAATTCCATTCCCCTTGGGGTGAGGAGTAGCTCAGTAGAGAGTTATATTGCCAACAAGTGAGAGAGAAGCACGCTTTCTAAATAGCTACAACTGACAGATAATTTGTGGGATGGTTAACTATTATAAGGAAGCTGAAGACACTTACTTCTTTCACAAACCATTGGCAAAAAGCTGGGGCAATCCATTCCCTGGCATGAATTCCACAGTCCATCCAAATGATCTTCTTGGTATCACTGGATGGTTGGCTGATCTGGAGGGGACATCCATGCAAAGTTATCAGGTTTCTTAGTCTCCTTTATTCCTCCACACTGTGGTTCCAGGCATGAGGCAAGGATGCTGGCAGAGATACCCACCAACAGGGCCCTTTCCTAGGCTACTTGAACTCTCCTGTCAATTACTTTGGCTGGTGTTCCAAGGACTGAGTGCAGACTCCCCATATCCCTCACCTAAAGCCTGGTCTTCCCTACACCCTAAATTATTTCCTATCTATACGTAAAGGCAGAAATCCCCAAGCCAGAAAACAGAGGCTAACTATCTATGAACTTTCTAAAGCCTCACCATAAAGGGTTTACTTAGAATGGTAAAGTGCACAAAAGGTACCCTTCAAGTAGTTCAAAATGAATCTTAGTCTTCACTTAAATTTCTTGAAACTGTGAATGGATCCAAGTACATAATCTCCTGCAATACTTATTAAATTCATTAAATTCCCCTCCCCTTAGAAACTCTTCCACTCCCAGTCAACCCAGTCTACTTTCCTCCTTCCCCATCGGTGGTTCTGATACATCGATTCAGTCTAACTCCAGGAAGACCCCCTCCTCTTTCAGAGGCGTGGGGTGGGTAGGAAGGAACCCAGCAATTATGGATCCTCTGTGATGGAGAAGAGGCTGTGACTGCGCACATGTGTGTAACAGTCACGTCTGTTTGGGAGGTAAATGGCCTGGACTCCCACTGTTCATTCAAAGCCACTGGGAGCTGAGCTCATCATGAAGGTTCTCCCCCTTTATCTATGAGAAATTTACAAACTGAGATTAATACAGGGCTGGATCCATCATATTTAGGGAACTTTTTCTTTTAGCCTCACTTCTTTTCAAAGTTACTAGCATGATTCCCAATCCACCTTTTACCTTAATTACCACTTTTATGAGTATATGCATATGGGTTATACATTTATGTTCATTGTTTCCTTATTATATATCAATTCTATTCCTTAAAATACACTCTGAGCAGAGGATGTTTAGATGTCTTTTTGGCTGACTCGGGTCAGAGTTTGATGTACCAGTCAAAAACCAGGTTATTAGTTGCCCATGCTTACCGTATCAACCAATCATTCACTCAGCTCCTTGGAAAATAGCATTACTTAGTTCATGGCCCTCTTACCACTTACTGCATAGAAGTTCATTTACAGTCACATCCCCAAATTTGAGTTACCTACAACTACAAAAAAATCTATTGGCTATGGAATAGCATTGAGCCAAGAGTTGAGTGAATGATGCCATGCACAATTATTATTAGGAATGATGCTGGCAGCTTTGAAAATGGTTGAGGCTAAAAGAAAAAAGTAATAATACATAAGTAAAGAGAACCTTCCATGATCCTACGTTCTTAGTGGGCATGTACTTAGGCCCGGTATGAAGAAAAATAGGAATGAGCTCTTCCACATCTAGGCCTTACTATTTTTAAATCCTAGCCCATAGTTCCCCCATTCAGATTCTCTTTATCCCAGAACTTGATTCCACCCAGATGATTAATGTGTAATCATCTGTTTTGAATTGTAAAAACCCATTTTGCAGGGAAAAGGCAAAGTTGGCCTGCACTGCCTCTTTGAACCTTGTCCATATTTCTGATTAGAGCCCCTGAATGGTAAACAAATACCCTTGGATTGGGTGGGAGAGATGACTCCTCACCCCACCCAAGGTAATTCTCAGCCTTCTCACTCACCTTTAAATAATACATGGGCTGGTTCTCATAGGTCATTCCTAGGAAATGTTGTGTCACCACGTCCCTGTACTTCTCATTTATCTGTCTCATCCACTGATAGATCTGAAACAGCCAGGGAGGACTGTGGTTATCAATAAGAAGACCATTTGCTTGCCTCTAATTTAGATAACTGTTTCTTCATTAAGATACTGAACTCTGTGTTCTGTTCTACATTAAAACAGCTCTGTGCTAAACAAACTAGAAGACTAAACCAAGGCATTATTACTGCCCTCTTCCCATTCTCTGTAAAGATCTACTCTTCTTCACCATCTTAGGACACTCTACTGAATTTTACAAATAAGTTATTGAGAATTAACAATTTCAAGAATCCACTGACACACTTCAAGAACATCATACCATCACACATCCTTCAAATGGCCACCAGACCTCCAGACTTCCAAGAGGCACTCAAACATGCCAGAAATTTCAGTTGGGATTATTTTGTGGGATCTTCTTCAGTCTTTTGGAATCTCAACAATATCCTTTGCTAATGTCAGTGGATCCAAAATAAGAGAATAGCTGAATTCACCCTTCACAGAACATGCCAGCAGACATTTCTAAATCAAAGCCAAGTTAATCATTTTGATTTAATGGAGTACTACACTTGAATAGATGTTGATTTACTTACAAATCTTACTCCATGCTTAGAAAGGAAGGATTTTATACCTTCTCCTATAAGTCAATAATTTGGGGTTCTATAAGGCTAAATGGCATAGGAATTCATAAACATAAGATGTGTTAAGACAATCAACTGCATGTGATAAGATACTTCCCACATTCAGTTTCTATGTAGTTGAAATATCTGAATGATAAGAGTTATGGTAAATAATAATAATTAATCTGAGATAAAAAATATTGTATGCGAAAATTTTTGTATCTCAGCCGACATTCATTTTAGCATGGACTATCTGAAGATAAAATGCGTTATTTTAGCAGTAATAATACTTAAGTGGGTGTATTTTCAGTTCAGTCCTGTTAACCAAAAAGAATAGCAATTCATTACACAGGCTTTGTGTGTGTGCTCCTGTGGTGGGACTGGGTCAGATGCTGGTGCCTTAAGCCTTGGCAGAGTTACAAATAGCAGGGCATAGCAACTGCAGCAATAATTGTTTATTTATTGTTTAATCAGTGGCAATGTAGTTTATTTCACTTGCTCCCACAATAAAGCTGCAAGATAAGTAAAGATAAGTACTGCTACTTCGGTATCACAGATGAGGAAACAAGGATCAAAGAGGTTAAATTTCTTGGTCAAGGTCACAGGGCAAGGTCAAGCCAAGTGTGGCCTATCTCTGATAACAGAGCATAAGCTTTCTGCGGGCTTTACTGCATCTTGTTCAAAATATTAGAATCTTTAGTACTTTTGGGTGATTGTCACAGAAGAAAATATAAATTCTTTCCTGTACTTTTAAAAAAATGCTGAGTGAATAAATGATAAAGCCTCTTTAGAGGACAACTTGTGCATTTATAGAAGTATATATTCTTTAACCCAACAATTCTATTTTTATAAATTAACTTTAGAAAGTCATACTTTAAGAAAAGTTTTGCATGATGTCACACACACACACACAACTCCCCCAACACATGTGCATATTTAATAGCTGATTTTTTACTGTATCCAGTTCCAGAAACCACTAATCTTATCTCAATAGCAATACAAATTTCTTTGAAAAAGAAGTTTTCCCCTCTTAATAACCTCTGCCCGTGTCTTTTCATCTTACAAGATATGCCACATTTCCAGCTAAATATGATTCAGCCAGAAGGCTTCTCCATTCCATGTCCCACGCCCACATGCACATTGGTTCTGCCCTGCTTAAACTGGCTAAGGACTTGATGAACATGAATAAGGGTTAGTTCTGGTTCATGTACACATGCGCAAAACTGGTTGGGATGTTCTTTCCCTCCTTTTCCTTTTTGTTGTTGATTTTTCTTTTATTTTATATCACCAGGATTTTTATATCACCATAGCTTCAATGGTAGGGATCAAGTGGTGATGTCTGGGAATCCCCTGAAGTCAGTGCACAGGCAAATCTCAGCCTTACATTTTGAGCCTCTCTAGCCCGTGGATTTTAACAGGGAGTTATCCCTTACCCATCCTAATGTAGGCTATGACCACTACCAGCCCCCACCCCTCATCCCATGTGTCCTTGCTCACCTCGTCCATGGGGTGATACCTGGTATAGGAATAGGTCTCCAGGCTCCTCCCCCGACTCACTGTCTCATCCACAACCTCTCGTCTGGGTTGTGCTTGGGATCTGCAAAGGGACGAAAGTAGACAAAAAACAATGAAAGAAACAAAATATCAAGAGGGTTGGAAACTTGATGAAAAAGGTGGTAGAAAGCAATGTGTACAGAATTTGAAGGACAAAAGCCAGTTGTTGGAGCCTTGGCCCTGCAACTTTGTGATTGTAAGACCTTGGCAACCACTGAGTCCCTCTGAACTGCAGTTTCTTCATCTGTAGAATGAGGACAGCCACTCCAGTCTTGCAGGGAGGCTAGGATAGTTCAATATGATGTTGTAGCTGAAACTTTGAAATTTGTAAAAAAATATAATAGCTAAGATTTATTGAACTAAAATATGAGACTCCCTGGTCTAAGCAATTTAAATCTCATTCACTTCTCTTAAAAACTATGACCTAGGTACTCTTTATACTTCCATTTCAGAAAAGAAGACATTAAGTCACAGGAAGTGTTACTGGGATTTAAATCCTGACAGTCTGACTGAGGAGCCTGCAATATTAACCACTGTACTGCATACAGTGGTAAGAATTAATCTTCATGCAATGGTTTATCTTTTTAAATAATAAACTTTTTTTAAGAGCAGTTTTTGGCTCACAACAAAATTGGACAAAAAATAGAGTTCCCATATACATCATGTCCCCCCCACCACACAACCTCCTCCACTATCAATATCTCACAGCACAGTAGTACGTTTGTTACCGATCAATGAACTTATATTGACACATTGTTTTCCCCCTAAAGTCCATAGTTTACATTAGGGTTCACTCTTGGTCTTGTACATTCTATGGATTTGGAATATCCACCATTGCAGTACCACAGAGAATAATTTCACTGCCTTAAACAACCTCTGCGATCTGCCTATTCAACTCTTCCCACCCCCTTAACCCCTCGCAAACACCAATCTTTTTACTGTCTCCATAGTTTTGTCCTTTCCAGAATGTCATATAGTTGGAATCATACAGTATGTAGACTTTTCATATTGACTTCTTTCACTTAGTAATATGCATTTAACTTTCCTCCATATCTTTTCATGGCTTGGTAGTTCATTAATTTTTAGTGCTGTATAACATTTCATTGTCTGAAAGTGCCACAGTTTATGTATCCATTTTACATACTGAAAGACTTCTTGGTTGTTTCCATATTTTGGCAAATATGAATAAAGCTGCTATAAATATCTGTGAGTACAGTTTTGTATGGGCATAAATTTTCAGTTAATTTAGGTAAATACCGATAAGCACAATTACTGGATCATTTGATAAGAGTATATTTAGTTTTGTAAGAAACTACCAAACTGCCTTCAAAAGCAGATACACTATTCTGCATTCCCCCAGCAATGCATGAGAGCTCTCACTGTTCCACAGCCTCACCAGTATTTGGTGTTGTCAGTGTTCTGGATTCTGGCTATTGTATTAGGTATGCAGTGGTATCTGATTGTTTTAATTTGCAAATCCCTAATGAGACATGATGGCGAACATCTTTTCACAGGCTTACTTGCCATCAATTTATCTTCTTTGGTGAAGTGTCTGTTCAGATCTTTTGCCCACTTTTAAATCAGTTTACTTTGTCAGTGTTGAGTTTTAAGACTCCATGTGTATTTTGTATATAACAGTCCTGTATTAGTCTATTGCAAATACTTTCTCCCAGTCTGCCTGGCTGGTCTTCTCATTCTCTTGACATTGTCTTTTGCAGAGCAGAAGTTTTAATTTTAATAGAATCCCTTTCGTTAATTATTTCTTTCATCAATTGTGCTTTTGGTGTTGTATTTTAAATCATCACTGTACCCAAGTTCATCTATGTTCTCCCCTGTATTATCTTCTAGGAGTTTTATATTTTTGCAATTTACACTTAGATCTATAAGCCATTTTGAGTTAAGTTTTGTGAGGGGTGTATGGTCTGTGTCTAGATTCACTTTTCTTTTTTGCATGTTGATGTCCAGTTGTTCCAGCAATATATGTTGAAAAACTACTTTGTTACATTGCATTATCTTTGCTCCTTTGTCAAAGATCATTTGATTATATTTATGTGAGTCCATTTCTTGGCTCTATTCTGTTCCACTGGTCTATTTGTCTATTCTTTTATCAAACCGCTCCATCTTTATTGGTAATCAAGTAGTGTTATAGTAAGCCTTGAAGTTGATTAGTGTTAGTTTTCCAACTTTGTTCTCCTTCAATACTGTGTTGGCTATTCTGCATCTTTTATCTCTCCATATAAACTTTACAGTCAGTTTGTCACCATCCACAAAATAACTTCCTGAAATTTTAATTGAGATTGCATTGAATCTATAGATCAAGTTGTAAAGAACTGACATCTTGACAATATTGAGCATGTTGTCATTTTACTATCCATGAGCATGAAACATCCCGCCATTTATTTAATTCTTCTTTGATATCTTTCATTAGAATTTTTTAGAATTCTTCATAAATTTTATATATTTTGTTACATTAATACCTAAGTATTTCATTTTGGGGGGTGATAATGTAAATGATAATGTGTTCTTAATTTCAAATTCAACTTGCTCATTGCTAGTATATAGAAAAGGGATTGACTTTTGTACCTTGGCCTATCCTGCAACCATGCTTAATAATTGCTTATTAATTCAAGGAGGGTTTTTTTGTTAGTTATTTCAGATTTTCTACATAAATGATCATGTCACCTGCAAAGACAGTTTTATTTCTTCCTTCCCAACTTATATACCTTTCATTTCCCTTACTTGTTTTACGATATTTGCTAGGACTTCCACTGCAATGTTCAAAAGCAGTGGTGAGAGTAGTTGCCTGGTCTTAGAAGGAAAGCTTCTAGTTTTTCACCATTATGTATGATGTTTATAGTAGATTTTTTGGAGATTATGTGATTTTTTTCATTTTTTGCCAATTGATGTGATGGATTACATTAACTGGTTATTGAATGTTAAAACAGCCTTGCATACTTTGGAAAAATCTCAGTAGGTGGTTGTGGTGTATAATTCTTTTTATACATTATTGGATTCAATTTGCTAATAGTTTGTTGTGGATTTCTACATCTATGTTCATGAGAGATATTGGTCTGTAGTTTTCTTTTTCTCAAATGTTTTCATCTGGTTTTGTTATTTGGGTAATGCTGGCCTCACAGAATGAGTCAGGAAATATTCCCTCTGCTTCCATCTTCTAAGAAGAGATCGTAGACGGTTGTTATAATTGTTATAGTTTCTTCCTTAAATGTTTTGTGGATTCATCAGTGAACCCAACTTTCTATTATGGAAAGTTATTAATTATTGATTCCATTTGTTTAATAGATATAGGCCTATTCAGATAGACCATTTATGATTTATCTTTTAACAGAGAGTTTAATAAAACTATTCAGTGCTTCTCCTCTATGCCAGATATTATGCCAGCACCTAAGAGAACACATTCATGCACCTCATTCTTATTACAACCCTACCAAGTATTATCATCCATGTCTTAGAAATAAGGAAACTGACATCAAAAAGAACTAAATAACTTGCAAATGGTCGCAGAGGCAATAAGTCATACAGGTAGTACGCTATCTCAAAGCCACACAAATGTTTGACAAATGTTTTAGTTCCCTAACTAAAAGACTATTTAAGCAAGAAATGGGTTATATTTTCATTATGAGTGCATACTAACTAATAATTCACTTACCCAACAAATGTGTTTGGAGTGATTGTTATGTTAATAGCACTAGGATGTGAGCTTTTGGAGAAGCTGGTGTGTGAACTTTTGGATAGTGACCCTGCATTGCAAGGAAATATGTTAGAGATCTAATTAGCTAGTGTTACAATGATATTTTTCTATTTTCCCACTTGTTTCCCCCTGAACATTCATGGTATTATATTTGTTCTTTTCTTAAGCCTTCATTTTACTTATCTGTAAGAAGAGAATGATACCTTCTCAAAGGATTCTTATGAGAATTAAGTCAATCTATGTTTAATAATGAGCACAATTTCTGACACTTAGTTAATGCTTAATAAAGGTTAAAACAGTAGTAGTTGTTCAAAACAAAGCAAAGTAAAAACCCTATTTATCTATAATTATATTAAAAATAAAAATTACCTGGAGAATAATTTAGCCATCTAACTGGCATTATCTTCAAATAATACCAAAATACAAAATATTTTGATAGAATTAATTAAAACAAGTTCAGTTCATGTCTATGTACCCACAATAACTGGACTGACTAAATTTTAATTGTTTAATCTTGTTCATTTAGCACCGTGTACTGCAATTACCCACTTTAACAGAAATCAATTTCTCTACACAATACCATGATTTTAAACTTAGAGACATATTTATTATTTTTATTACAAATATTAATAATAATAATTTGAACTTAATAGAAGCTCTTTATTCTCAAAATTCTAAATGTTTTATTATATTTTTTAGTATGTTTTACTTTATTTACCTTGTCCAAATGAAAATCTCATGAGGTAGGATTATCTAAAGAGAACAATGAGAGGATTAAAGATGGTGGCATGAGAGGTGAGACAGAAACCTCCTCCCAAAACCACTTATACTATGAAGATATAGTTAATACAAGTAATCCAAAAAAAGCAACAGAAAAGAAGGTTGCACCAGAGTGCACACACCTGGAGAAAAGAGCAGACCTTAAGAAACAGGAAAACATACCAAAGTGGTGATCCTGTGGAACCCGAGCCTTTCCCCCACCCCAGCTCACCAGCAGGAGGAAAATAAATGGAGTGGGGAGGGGATGGAAGCCTAGGACTGATGAACACCCAGCCCTGGAGATCTGCTCTGGGAGCATGAACCTACATTGCATGGTGCTCTGGAGATTAGTGGGTTGGAAAGCTAAGATAGGCAGATAAATATATTATAGATAAATACTTGGAGAGATTGAGATTCCAGCTGCTTGTGGAAAACAGGGATCCACATCTGGCTGCTCTGGGACAAAAGAAAGGCAGGCAGTCTGAGAGACTTCCGAACAGCAAGAGGGCTGCTAAAGGGGCAGGGATTGCACACAGCTTGCTGCGCAGGAGAAAGGACAGGTGGGCAAAATTGTT